ATGGAGGAAGTCCCTGAAAAGGTGTACCACCGCCTCTTTGGTCAGGTACCAAGTGTAATTAATCATTTCCACCAGATCCCGATTTCCCCAGCAATAGGGACAACGTGGCACTGTGAGACACATCACTGATAATCGGGAACAATCGACCAAGGCACAGGTAATATGAACTTGTAGAAAGCCAAGCATGGCACACCATCACAAAGAAACATGACCCTACTGTATGTAACTATGTATGTACTGGTATACCAGCCAAGATTAAAAATAACCGACTGTACGCCGCATCCGGAGGAAGCGGGAGTTCCAGCCCAGGCGGGAAGGAAAGGAACCCTTTTTTTTTTTTCATTTCCCAGTAATTTGCTTTTCCCCCTTCGCCTTCGTTCGCGATATTATTATTCTTCTTCCTTCTGGTCGGTCTTCCTCCCCCCGGCTTATCCTCAGCCTCTTTCTCGACTTTCTCCTCCTCGTGTCTTCCCCCTCTTCTTCCCCCCTTGTCCTCTCGGCCCCCGTTCTTTCCAAACTGCCTGGCTGATTGAACATATCTCCGGGCCGGTGTTTCGTGTTCTTTTTTTATACTTGCGGGTTTTCTTTCCTCTTAACGCTCGCTCCGGCGCCGCCAACTATCACTTCATCCCCGACTCGCCGTCGCCTTGCCACGACTTCTCGTTCCCACAGGCATATCGTTTTCAATTCCCACCCACTTCGCATAGACACTCATTGAATCAGTCACCATGGCTGAAGGCAAGAAGACCGACGACTACACGATCCAGATGGATGCGATAGACCAGGGCAACAAGAGCTTCGAGGCGCCGCCGCCGCCTCAGCCCAGGAGTCCGCCGTCGGGCTCGCTGTCCAACAACCCCATCTTGCCGGTGTTGGCCTACTGTGGATCCTCAATCTTGATGACCGTCATGAACAAATATGTTTTGTCCGGCACTGATTTCAACCTCAACTTCTTCCTCCTCTGCATCCAGGTATGTTGGCTAATATCGGAGCACATGGCGGGTGTGTATTGCATGCTCAAGGCTGACCGCTGTTCGATTTCCTATGCAGTCTCTCGTTTGTATCATTGCAATCCAGACCTGTAAATCATGCGGTTTGATCACTTATCGCGACTTCAGCGCGGACGAGGCCAGAAAGTGTAAGTGCCCAGACTCTACATGCGTGCTTTCAAACCCCCCTCGCGACGCTCTCGAACTGACATGCCTTTGATTATCACTAGGGTTCCCCATCACTCTGCTCTTGATCGGCATGATCTACACGGGCTCTAAAGCGCTTCAGTTCCTCTCGATTCCCGTTTACACCATCTTCAAGAACTTGACCATCATCCTTATCGCCTACGGAGAGGTGCTGTGGTTCGGTGGCTCTGTCACCGGTCTTACCCTGTTCTCTTTCGGACTGATGGTTCTGAGCTCTATCATTGCCGCCTGGGCTGACATCAAGCACGCTGTGGAGAGCAATGGCGATGCGACCGCCAAGATGTCTACTTTGAATGCAGGCTACGTCTGGATGCTGGTCAACTGCCTCTGCACATCGTCCTATGTTCTGGGCATGCGCAAGCGGATCAAGCTGACCAACTTCAAGGACTTTGACAGTACGTTGCTCGGATTAAAACTCTTGTAGCTCGAAAGTATCGTTTTTACTGACCTGCCGTTTTCTAGCCATGTTCTACAACAACCTTCTGTCGATCCCCGTCTTGATCGTTCTGTCCGCTTTCTTAGAAGACTGGTCATCCACCAACGTCAACCGCAATTTCCCTCCTGTGGACCGCAACAGCATCGTTTTCGCCATGATCCTCTCCGGCCTGTCGACCGTGTTCATTTCCTATACCTCCGCCTGGTGTGTTCGCGTCACTTCGTCGACCACTTACTCCATGGTTGGAGCTCTGAACAAGCTTCCCATTGCTATCTCTGGACTCATCTTCTTCGATGCTCCTGTTACCTTCCCCAGTGTTTCGGCTATCGTCGTTGGCTTTGTTAGCGGTATCGTTTACGCCGTTGCTAAGATCAAGCAAAACGCTAAGCCAAGGACTGGTGTCTTGCCGACCGCCAACCCCCCGGTCAGCGCCAGCAGCCAGAGTATGAGAGACTCCCTACGTTCCTAGTCGGGTTGCCAGTCATCAACTGGATGGTCAACTCGTTGTGGGCAACTGCTCCGGCTTGACCATCGTCAAGGTTGCTCCGTACCGAGTGCAAGACTGAACGTGCTCGTTACTCGCATGTGATATGTGATTCTTCGTTTCGTTGTAGTTGGCGAGGGCTGTCGTTCAGACCCTGAATCACAGTCTTCATGCCTTCCTCGGCAGGTGTTGGTGGTTCTGTATTCTATTTCCACGTGTCGAGCTACCTGAGAGGCCTTTCATTTGCTGTTATTGGTCTTTCAGCTTTGCTTTCAGATATCTGCCCCGATCATGACCCTTTTCGCATATTCTTTTTATTTTTGTTTCGGGCTGCGCAGATGGCTTCCATTTGAATATCATCTAGTAACGCCGTGGATTGATATGACGTGTCTTTTTTATTCTTTGCTGATCATGGCGTGTTCCGTGTTTTTGTCTGTGACGGGGCCTCGCAAGTTCAGGTTTCGTGCGGTTGAGGATTTATCAAAAAAGGAAGGCCTTTCCTGGTGTTTAAGCCTGTATATAAGAAGTTCTTTCTTTACTGCCCTTTTTAATAAATTCTATAGAATTGAAGCGTGTTTTTGGACGACTGAAGATCCCTTCGCGGTAAGAGTACTACTTAGTCGCCGTGGTTGCACTCGGAGTATCTTCTCATAATGTAAGGTCCCTGGAGCTTCTCGTGAACATGTTGCATGCTTTTCCCAACAAGTCTGTGTGTGTCACGGTCCTGAATTAAACACTTACTGTATAACTGCATTACCTAGATAGAACCTTGTTGAGCTACTTACTACGTACTACCATCAATAAGTACTGATGCATCTCCGGAGGTCTGTCTCTTATGGGGTCCCGTCCCTACCATGATTCCGCAAATTCGATCCTCTCATTGGTCCAGGCGGCAACCAGGCAAATCATACGTAGTAGAATTTTGAACCGCCGCCGTGCCTCCACCGTACCTTAGTGCCTCTGTATCGCAAATATATATATATATCATTATCAAAAAACCTTTATATGAAATATATATACAGTACACAACCCTTACCTAAGAAAAGAGACAACTCCCGTCTTCCCCTTTTTTTCATCATTATTCCTAATATTTACCTTTTCCTTTTTACCCCTAACAATTTCCCTACATACTCTTAAATAACATCAGACAAGGGAAGGGAAGGGATTAAAAACCTGAAAAAAGGAAGATAAAAAAAAAAAAATGCCCAAGTCCAAGAAAGGCGGGGGCCCATCCCCAGCAGGCCAGCAACAGCAACAGCAACAACAGCATTCAAAAAAGCATCGCAAAATGTCATCGTTTGCTAAGCTTTCGACTACCACCCCTACGAACTCTGCAAAGCCTAAAGCCGCTCAGAGTGCTGCTCATCAACACCCCGGGTCGTCGGGTAATGCTAAAAACAGCAACAATGATCGAAAGATGAAGAACTCGCAGCAGCAACAGCAACAGGTGCAGAGGAACCAGCGGCCTATCGTGCCTTTTGGACGGAAGGATCGGATTTTGTTGGTTGGGGAAGGTGAGTCGGATTTGCCCTTTCTTCCCAATTACTACTTTTATGTGCCCTTCTTGCGGTTCGATAGGTGCATGCATTGCCTTTACAATCTTGATACTTGCTTTTTTTTCCCTCCTTCCTTTTTTTCTTCTCTTCGCGCGCGCCTTTCCTCCTCCCCACGCGGAAAGCAGACGCTCAATGTCTAAGCCCGCGTTGGCCTTTGTCTACATCATACTTGCTGATCCCCACCGTGGAAGGGGGAATCTGACCCCGAGAACCATGTCATAAAGTTGCTTCGCTGGACCGCAATCCTAACTATATTGATGTAGGCGACTTCTCCTTTGCTCGCTCATTAGTCCTTCAGCACCGTTGCAAGAATGTCATGGCTACCTGCTATGATTCCAAAGATACGCTCCACAGCAAATACCCCCAAGCTGAAAATAACATTCGAGATATACAGTATGCATTTCCCAAGGCGACGACGGGGGAGCATGCTTCGGACAGTAAGGAGAACTCATCCAACGGAGACGGCACAAGCATTGTTGGAACCAATGCACAAGGGCTCCTTGAAGACCAGGCGCAACGTCGTGGACCCAAAGTCATTTACTCAGTTGACGCTCGAAAACTTGGTTCTCCTGCGGGTGGCGGTAAAGAAATACGGACGGGCTTTCCTCGACAGGAGCGAAAACGCCCGGCCTGGAAAGAAGCAAAGAGCGGCATCTCTTCTGCACCACAAGGTGGGCCGTGGGATGTGATCTGTTTCAACTTCCCCCATGTCGGCGGTATCTCCACCGACGTCAATCGGCAGGTGCGAGCCAACCAGGAACTCTTGGTGGCTTTCTTCAAAGCGTGCGTGCCTTTGTTGTCTCATCAACCCGTGCGCGTAGATAGTGACGATGAAGACGACTGGGACAACTGGGAGGACTCTGACGTTGAATCAAGCGGGGGTGAAAACGATCATGATGGCAGTGAAGACGGCAACCAACTGCGAACAGCCAATACTACCGGGCAGGCGACACGCCAAAACAGAGTGGAGCCAGGTCAGATTCTAGTGTCGATGTTTGAGGGTGAGCCTTACACCCTCTGGAATATTAAAGACCTTGCAAGGCATGCTGGCCTGCGAGTGGTTACCAGTTTTCGATTCCCGTGGACCTCTTATAAGGAGTATTCCCATGCGCGGACGCTGGGCGACATTGAAGGAAAGGATGGTGGAAGAGGAGGCTGGAGGGGGGAAGATAGAGACGCGAGAATGTATGTCTTTGAGGTTAAACAGGAAGACCATCCAGTGAAACGGAGGAACGCCCCATCTTCCAAAGCTGGGCAGAGTGCGAAAAAGAAGAGGCCGAGAGATGCATCCGACAGTGACGACAGCGAATAGGAAATACCTGTGCAAATTACTCGTTGCAGATACACATTCCACTGTCCGTTTCAACCCAGAAGATTGAAATAAGGAGCAGGGCCAGTTGCAGCTGTACATAGCCTTGGTACACATTCCTTGTTTACATGATGTAGACTTTCTTCATATCACCCTCATTGAATACTTCACCGGTCGTAGGGTCCTTTACTTTACCTGCCTCAACACATCCAACTTTCTTGCTCATCTCTAAGAGCCGTTGCTGACCGTAAATCCTGCCATTTGGAAGCACAATCGGGTCGCTTTCAACGTAGCTCTTTGTGTGGTGAGCATATGGCATGTTACGTGCGAGCTCGTTAAGCTCGGTCGAACAAATTGGACAAACAGATGTTGTTGTGGACAGCGAGTTCGAACTGGAGGAGGTATAGGCCGAATGGCACGAAGGAGTCTTGAGAGCCGACAATCCCGCAGACAGAGCGATGTGTAACAAAGGGCGAGAAGATAATGACAAGAGCTCATGGTGAGTGCGGACAAAGAGATCGGAAAGATAAGCCCATCTTGCATGAGCATACATCGACTAAGGGTGAGTCAGTTTGTACGGTCTTTCATGAGAGTGTCTCCAATATCCCCATTACCTTGTACGGCTCAGCTTTGGTGTCTGGAGGAAAAGCCAAAAGTCCTGCAGCTCGATGAATCTCTACCGACTGTGTCTCAAGGTAAGGCGCCAGATATCTTTTGGCGTGAATCATAGCGTCGTTGAATCTCTCTTTATGCCCCGTTCTGACCATTTCAATGTATTGCTGCAATCGGAGTTCGAACTCCAGATTATACTGTAAACCATGGTCAGGTCTGTGTTCGGGCATATAGCTCCGTGATCATCGGTCGATGTTAGACAAACCTGACTCTTCTTCAGCGCTGCTTTATTCTCGCCACACCATTGCAGGGCATCTTTAGTTTCACCAGCGCGTAGGCTCTCGGCAATCCGTTGACACTGTACGAAAACGTTGAGATCTACAAGTTCCTCGATCCCCTTCTCACGGGCTAATTGCTGGGCACTTTTAATATACCCGGAGCGTAACATATGATCTACCATGAGCCTGTCCAATCGAACCCTCGCCCACTGATCATATTGGACGTCTGCCAAGCTAGGAATCTGGTGAAGTTTCTCCAGGTGCTGGATACGCTTCCGGGACTGCTCTTGAATTTTTCTTTCCTCCTGATGTAAATTCTCCATTTTCCGTTTCAAGCCTTGCATGCGGGAAATCATAGCGTCGAGTGCAGCAAGAGCTTGGTCAGGCGTTTGCTCATTTGATAAGGATGCATTGGCGGTCTCCTTGAGTGCGGGGATGACATATTCCTTTTCACGCTCCACGAGGCGCTGAACAGATTTGAAATTTCGACGTGCAAGCTCATGTGGTAACCGTAGGAGAGGCTGGTCCTAGAATCAGACGACCAAATTAGTATCAGAATGCGGGGGCAAGCCGGCAATAGGTTGGGGCCATAGAGCTGAATACCAAGAGCAGATGGTTCTCCGCATTGAGCCGGGTAGATGTAAGTTCCGCAGCCATGGTGAACAAAGATACAGCCAGTGATTGAGTTTCTGACTGGTCAGTTACAAGGCTAAGCACGATCAAATGGGACGTGAAGTAGACATAAGTGAATGGGGGTTTAAAGGAATGGGGGAGCAGCAGATGGAAGTTGCCCGACGTGGTTACCGGAAGTAATGCGGGGGACACCGCCTCCGGTCACGGGTCTTCAGTCACGGTACCCGTGCCCAACTACGAAGACGAAGTTCACTTATGTTCAAGGACCACGCAGGTGGAAATAGTAATTGAATCGAGAAAAGACACTGACATACAAGAACCGCAACAAAATCTCTTTAGTAAATAGATTCCCTTTTCAAACCCAAGACTCCGACACAAAGAAACAAGTATGTTACAGGAATCATACCCAAGCGACGCTCCAACAAGCCTAGACCGATTGAATAGCGGCCGCTCCCCGTTCTGAGGCAGGTAAAGAACTTCCCGGAAGCGTTTAATCACTATCGTCGCTCTCCTCCTTCTCCTGCTTGGACTTCCGGCGCTCCTTCTTTTCCTTCTTCTCCTTCTTCTTGCGCTTGCGCTCGGCCCGCTCCTCGGGTGTCTCACCCTCGTGGCGCTTGCGCTTCTTCTTCTCATCGTCGTCGTCATCAACATCCATCTTGTTGGGAGAAGAAGGGGTTTCCGTTTGCTCGGCAGGAGTAGCAGCATCTTCCTTAGCGACAGGTTGAGCCACTGCCTGCGCGCCTTCTTCTTCGGGTGCGCTGTAATCCTTGTAGTCGTTCTTCCATTTGGCAGGCGTAGCCTCGTTAGCACGACCGTACTTCTGCATTGTTTGTCAGCAAACCAGCACATAGGTGAGCGTTTCACAAATTCAGAGAATAGCTTACATCCAGCTTTCCGGCGGACTTGAGCTTCTTCTTCTCCAAAGCCACAGGTCCCAAGCCCCAGCGACGGGGGTACAGGTCGCGTTCCATGATACAACGCTTGACCTTGGCAACAACGCCGTGATCGCAGGTGGACAGCTCGACGGTCGACATTTGAGCGATACCGATGGCAATAGCCTCACCCTTAGTGGTCATGAGGACTACCTCTTCGTTGACCTCAATACCAGCCTCTTCACCAGAGTCAGCAATTCAAATCGGACCATATAAAGGTGGGATCTTACCGAAGCGGAGGAGACCAGGAACCATCAGCTTAGCACCATAGCACACAGCATTCACAGCGCTGTCTTTGACAACGATACGCTTGTACGTGGTGAGGAGAGTCTCCAGAGGCTTGATGACCTTCCTCAAATAAGACTCGTCCCGCTGGTTGTCGTACATCCATTGGGCATCCAAAACATCATGCAGAGTCACCATTCCACTGTTCTCATCCATGGCACCACTGCGAACACGGCGGAGTTCCTGCATGTGCGCACCAACACCGAGCAGAAGACCCAAGTGGACACAGAGGGTTCTAATGTAGGTTCCGGCTTCACAGCTGACCCAGAAGACACCAAGGTGCCTCTCGTTGTCGAACTCGTAAAGCTTGCTTTCGTGAATTGTTCGGATACGAAGCTGACGCTTAACAGCAGAGATCAATGGCGGCCGCTGGAAAAGAGCTCCAGTCAATGTCTCGAGAGCCCGCTTGAACTGGGCCTCGCCACCAGGAATCTTATCATGAAGGCGAATAACGCAAACGTATTCTTTTCCGGCACCCTGTTGGGATTTCACCAGGCGAGTGGCACGGTCAATGCAGACAATCAAGCAACCGGTGACCTTGGGGTCGAGGGTTCCGCTGTGACCAGTCTTCTCCGCCCTTTACAGAACTAGTCTCAGTATCGTCAAGACGAGAGGAGAGTGAAAAAGATAATTTACCTCAGGATTCTCTTCATCCAAGCAACAACCTCATGACTGGAGGGGTTTGAAGGCTTGTCCAGGTTGATGACACCGGAGTTGATGTACGACTTCAGGTCACGCTTCAAAGGAGTGCTACCAGCGGGGATAGGCGTGAAGTGGCCGGTCCTGACAAGCACTGATATTATGGATGAGTACCAGCTACATTGATATGAGATATGGCCTTGGAGTGAACATACGCTTGTCATAATTCTTCAGAAGAAGCGGCCACTCCGACGTGTCGATTTTCGAGGAACTAGCCTCAGGCTTGATTGCGTAGTCCATCTCCTCCTTAGCCACTGCGACCGCCATTTTGAACAGGCTGGCTTGAAGGGTGCAGAGATAACTGGGTTGTTGCGCGCGTTGAGGGAAGGCGCAGGAAAAATTGCACTCTCCGGACTAAGTTTTGTTCTCGCGCTAGCGAGGAAGAAGTCTGGGAAATTTTGCAAGTGCGGCGAAAGCTCCTGCGACTAATCAGGTTAGAGCATAAATTTTACCCGCCGACCCAGCATCCCGTGACTTGTCTTTTGCACCTTGCAAATTCCGTATCCGTATGTCTCGTTACGTTTTTAAAACATGTTTCTTTGAAGGACTGTATCGAAAGTTGACAATTTTCATTACTTGGCGGTATATGAGAGGTATCGGTCTAACCTGTGTCGTGTCTACTTGAGTATCTGCTACCTCTCTTTTATTTATTATTCTGAGCATCGAAATGACTTCCAAGTACCTGCAAGAAGTTGAAAGTCGTACTTCTTGAGCCCTTGGCTTCAGCACCAATTTAAATACAATTGTAGTAAACATTGCCCGCTTGACTAGGCTTCCCTACTCTGGACTGGAGCGACTCAATAACCTGATAGGAACGACGTGCCTACTCAGTCACCACCAAGTCTTCTTCCTGGCCCTCTTCTGCTCCAAGGGCTCTGAAAGGATGAAGTCCAGCTTCCCGAAGAACCCTGGGTTTGGTCCGTCGCACGGTAGGCGGTCCCAAAGGCGCGAGCTTCGCCCCGCGGCTTGCTAGCAGCAAAGAACCGCCTCACAAACGCTGGAGTGACGAGGTAATTCTTACCACCTCCGAAAGTTGGATATATACGGGTAAGGAAATCGAAGAAGTGGGCAGCAACTATGCCCATACCGTCCCTCAACGCCGCAGGCCATCCGGAAACGACCAGTGTTAATGTGAGCATTGCCCAAGGTAAGAACTCGACGGGTATTTGGACGATGAAAAAGCTCGCCTTTTTTCCTCGATTGTCTTGGGAATACGTGTAAACGAATGCCAGGATCAACGCTGAGTTGAGAAAACATCAGTATGGGCAAGCATAATTTGGTACCACGGTTAGCTCACCGGAGGTAAAAATTACATTATTCAAAAGACAACCTGCCGTGAGCTTTGGGTTGTCAGTACTGGCAAAATCAAGGAGGCTACATTGGAAGGGAAAAAGGGTCTATAAAAATAATGACAAAGCAATAGAATAATAGTTATAGAGATGTAGGGCACCATAACCACCAGTGTGAACCGATTCATCACACTAGCTATCTCACTGGTCGTCCCACCATGCCTACAACGCATATAGCCCCGGTAAAATCAGTTGTGGAGCTATACGGGATGCAGGGGTGATCTCCCTCGTTTCCAGGAACCGCTTCAGCTGATGCTGCGCTGGGCGGGCAGATATACGAGGTGGTAGATAAACAAATGAAACAGAACGATAACAATAACGAAGATGGGCGCACAGCAAGACTGCGAGACAACAGGGATCGAAGTCATCGCTTGCATATGAGACTGGGATGTTCCCACAACTTACCATGATGATGGATGCTACGAAGAACACATAAGTGAAAAAATCACCAGGTGCACTGAACCGGGGAGATTCAGTCTCCAGGCGGCTGCCATAGGTAAACACTACCGGCAGTTAGCACGCCCGTTCATCAGAACAGCGCAAAAGCCATACTAAAGTAGAGGTCAAAGATCAGGGAAAGGCCTGGTCCAGTGATCATGAACGGCGAGAACAGCCTCCATATCTCTGGTAGTGTCTTGAAGACAAGGCGGCGAAGGAACAGTACATAGTAAGCGCTGAGAAGGCCACCATGTACTAGTATAGACTGTAGAAAGGTAAGTGCAGTGAGTGTTCTGAAGGAGAGTCAGTTATGGATCCTGATATGAGACACAAATGATGTGAGAATAGCTCATACCTAGTAACAGGAGGAGCAGCCCAAAACTGGTCCATTGTGATTGCAAGGAACTGCTATGAAGAGCAGTCACGGGGGTAATACTGTAATCTGAGTACAGATACTATTCGAGACACATCATTCAGTGTCACAATAGGTGGCGTGGCATTCAATGTTGTTTTAACAACTAAGTTGGGAATATTGTGAAAGAAAGAAAAGGACAGAAAGTGAGTTCTTATAGTGTGTGTATTTCCTAGCTCCAGTGCGGCATCTGTTTATCCGTTCCGGCATGTGTGCGACCCACAGGGTTATACCAATTGCGGAAGTTCCTATCATCATTTCTGTACGTAATGATGTCCTGCTGTTTCAGTGCCTGGTTAGTAGAAAACTACCCCGTAGTTAGTTAACAACGATAATGACATGATCAGTGACTAACTATAGCCACCCCAGATTTCAAGCAGAAACGAGTGTGAACAGATTATCATATTCATGAATGGGTCCTCGGTAGTCCATAATGCTCCTGAAATAACGAGTTACTAGTGCTACATGCGAGCTAATTCAACATGCAATGTGTCGCTATATGCCACAATACACCCCTTCCATCGAACAAGTATCGATCTACTAAGACGTCCCTTTTCGACGGCCGTGATTGCTCTATGACTCAAGTATCATAGTCAGAGTAGTGGTGTCAAGCCGAGTAAGTTCCTAATATATCAGGAGGCTCTCCTCTCTATTCGATTATTGGCCTTGGCCGCTTCTTCATCATGACTCCATGAGCCCTACAGAGGGCTAGTGAAAGCGGTGCCTCGGACGGCAAGTCGTCCGTCCTTACCCTCAATCCAAACATCCCAGGTTGTGTAGCCCTTTCCCAATTTGGGTTTGCCGCATACTGCTAACTCCTCATCAACATATAGAGGAGCTATGTTCCTATACTCAATGTGTGTGACAGTCAATTGTAACTTACTCAGATGGCCCTGCAGAGCAGTAAGA